CACTCCAAAATGCAAATGCAACGGGAGGAACGCCGTGCGTGAGCATGCGCGAGGTGGGCCCTGCACGACCCTATCATGTTTGACTGCCGTTGGCTTGCCAACAAGGAGCGACTCGGCATGAATCCCCCATACATCCAGCTGCAGCGTTTCGCAGTTAGTATGTTGCTTGCGGTTGGTTCAGTTGCGCTGGTGGAGCTGAGCCCCACCTGCCGAAAGGATTGTACGCACTCTTTGGCAAAAACATGGGGGATATGCATGCATCTGCGGTTGTGGTGGAGATAAGCAGTTTGCGTTCCTGAATCTGTTTGCACCGATGTGGAGATGCCTCTCCTTGCGTTGCGATCGCGCGGCGCTTTGCCCAGCAAGTGCAGAATTAGAACGAAATTCATTTGCTTGGCGCGGGTTTGGGGTCGTTTACGTCGTAGGTGTTCTGATGCCAGGCATGGATGTAGATGCGCATCGCTGCAAGGTTCTGGCGATGCGGTGCGAAAAGGCGTGGGAGCTCGTTTCGCTTCAGCCGTGGTCTTGCTCGTTATCTGCTGGGGCGTGGTGTTTCAGCGCTGTACGACGTTTGTGCGATGGCGCTTGCCATCACAAGCGACATCGCGTAACTGGCGACGCAGCACAGGCGCAGCGAGAAACGCGGTAGGAAACGGCGCTCATAGCACTCCACTCCAAAATGCAAATGCAACGGAAGGAACGCCGTGCGTGAGCATGCGCGAGGTGGGCCCTGCACGACCTTATCATTTTTGGCTGCCGTAGGCTTGCCAACAACGAGAGACTCGGCATGAACTCCCCATACATACAGCTGTAGCGTTTTGCAGTTCGTATGTTGCTTGCGGTTGGTTCAGTTGCGCTGGTGGAGCTGAGCCCCACCTGCCAAAAGGAGTGTACACATCATTTGTCAAAAACATGGGGGATATGTATGCATCTGCCGTTGTTGTGGGGTGAAGCAGTTTGCGTTCGTGCATCTGTTTGCCCAGATGTGGAAATGCCTCTCCTTGCATTGCCACCGCGCGGTGCTTTGCCCAGCAAGTGCAGAATTAGAACGAAATTCATTTGCTTGGCGCGGGTTTGGGGTCGTTTACGTCGTAGGTGTTCTGATGCCAGGCATGGATGTAGATGCGCATCGCTGCAAGGTTCTGGCGATGCGGTGCGAAAAGGCGTGGGAGCTCGTTTCGCTTCAGCCGTGGTCTTGCTCGTTATCTGCTGGGGCGTGGTGTTTCAGCGCTGCAAGGCGTCTGTGCGACGGCGCTTGCCGTCACAAGCGACCTCACGTAACTGGCGACGCAGCACAGGCGCAGCGAGAAACGCGGTAGGAAACAGCGCTCATAGCACTCCACTCCAAAATGCAAATGCAACGGGAGGAACGCCGTGCGTGAGCATGCGCGAGGTGGGCCCTGCACGACCTTATCATTTTTGACTGCCGTTGGCTTGCCAACAAGGAGCGACTCGGCATGAACTCCCCACACACACAGCTGTAGCGTTTTGCAGTTCGTATGTTGCTTGCGGTTGGTTCAGTTGCGCTGGTGGAGCTGAGCGCCACCTGTCGAAAAGCGTGTAAGCATTATTTGTCAACAACAAGGGGGATATGCATGCGGCTGCGGTTGTGGTGGGGTGAAGCAGTTTGCGTTCGTGCATCTGTTTGCCCAGATGTGGAAATGCCTCTCCTTGCATTGCCACCGCGCGGTGCTTTGCCCAGCAAGTACGGGATTAGACGGAAATTCATTTGCTTGGCGCGGGTTTGGAGTCGTTTACGTTGTAGGCGTTCTGATGCCAGGCATGGATGTAGATGCGCATCGATGGAAGGTTCTGGAGATGCGGTGCGAAAAGGCGTGGGAGCTCGTTTCGCTTCAGCCGTGGTCTTGCTCGTTATCTGCTGGGGCGTGGTGTTTCAGCGCTGTACGACGTTTGTGCGACGGAGCTTGCCATCACAAGCGACTTCAGGTGGCTGGTGACGCAGCACAGGCGCAGCGAGAAACGCGGTAGGAGACAGCCACGGCTGGTGTTCTCGAGGTTAAGTTGATTGGATTGCTAGCCAGGACGTTCATGAGGGTGGTTCGTTTGGGGCAGATAATCATAGTCGAGCGTGGCCACAGCTTGGGGCGCTTTCAGAACAAAGAAGTAGAAGATATTCATCGCACTTACGTTATACACGCGGAGCCCTCAAGTGGCTGCGCAGCCATCGGGCGACGCGAGAGAAAGCGAAATCCGTTGTTCCGGCTGGTGTGTCTCAGCGCCTGCAGATTCCGTCTTGGCCTCAAAAACGAAGTGTAGGGTTCAAGGTCTACGGTCTAGGGCATATGCGCAAGGATTTAGGGTTTGATGTTCAGGGTGAACGGGTTAGGGCTCGGCAATATTCGTCGACCTGCTTTGTGTTCGGAGGAGGCGCAGGTTGTGTATGTGCCGCTGACGTATGTGCGTTTTCGGCATATAACCCCAAACGATCCACAGCGCCCGAATGCTGTAGGTAGAGGCAAACGAGAACCAGTCCGCAGGTCGCCTCCTGCATGGTGTTTGGCGCACGTATTGAACACTTCCCGATTGCTTTTGGTCTTCCGACAAGGCCCCATGCAACGTGTTCCATCGTTTCGCACTTCGTACGAAGCTTGCGCTTGGTTTCATTGCCCTGGTTGAAATCAGCTCTCTCCGCCGGCAGGAGTATACGTTGTATTTGGCGGAGTGCTAGGGGCCCTCGACGTATGCGCACCGTGGGCATTGTGCGGTTTGTGTGTTCGCTTTCACCCCCGCTGTATGGAGGAGCTTTTTTCGATATTGCGGTCGATTTCTGTTTCGGACAGATATTGTCAGCCTAATAAGGAAGCAGAGCCGCGAATATCCGAGGCGCACAGCAGCTAGGAGAGCTTTTTGCCTTTTATCTTTTTACACGAGCCAGAACTATCAAATGCAGGCACTCTCAGCTGTGGTAGACGAGCTGACGCGTTGGCGATAATCCAAGCTGTGAAGGGTGGTAGTCGCCTTGCTGGAAAGGCGACAAGCGGCAGTTGATCTGCAGGCGATGGTACCTTACCGAGCAATTCTGTGCATTTATCTGGCTGAGAGTGCATTGGAGGCGTGGCAGGGCATTGCTTGTTTTGATTTCGCGGGGCTAGTTGAGAGACTGGGTTCCTGTGGGAGTGTCATTAATGAATGCGTCGCTGTTCCTCTGTTCTATTCATGTTTAAAGCGCTGCGCAGGTTGCGCAGTATCAGTGGGAAAGTGGTCCATGGTTATGCACGCGTGCGAGGCTTTTCGTACGTGGGGTAGGTGGGGCTATTTCTTCCTGTTGGCATCCGGGACTGCAGCAGTTGCGAGAAGATGCATCGTGAAGGCTGTTGCACTGTGCTGCAGTTGGCTTTCTTCATGCATACGTTTACCGCCCCCGCAGATGCGCTGCGCTGCACCTCCAGATGTGCGTATATGCATACTGCGTTTGAGGACAATGTCGTGGAACTGTTCTTTAAGGGGTGTAAGGTGCACGCAGCATTTGGTGAGAGTGTCGATGGGTGCCTTGGAGGTGTGTTGGCTGTCTGCGCTTGCCTCGAATTCTACATCTTCTGCGCGATAAACACATTTTGTTGTTCGTCTGTTGATTGGATGGGCTTGCGTAGAGATTACGCATAACGTGGGCACCGCGTTGCAAACTTGTGGCGATGTCGTAAACCAGGTTAGTGTGCGTCGCGGCTGGAGCACGAGAAGCAGAGTTTTTTTGGAACGCGATGTTGCACGTATGTGTTGAAGCATGCGACGTTTGGCCTGAATCGAATGCGTACGCCGGAAAGTGTTGGCGTTTTTAGAGATGGAGGCACTAGGGTAGGAACAGTTGGCACTGCTCGCTTTGGTGTAATCGTTTTGCCTGGGTACCCCTGCTTTTGTGATAAGCGCGTGCATGACAGACCAATGCCTATAGCTTCCTGTAGTGTCCTACGGTGGCAGTGCTCGTTGACAGCGATATGTCGCATGAGTGTGGTGGGAAGCGGCGTTGAGGTGCGAAGAAGCTGTTGAGCCCTTATTATGGGCCAACGTGTCTATGGCGGTAGCTGGGTAACAAGGGACAAGAGCAACGGAGTTCCAGGGGTGGATGACGGTGCGACGGTGCACAGGGATGGTGCATTTGGTTAGGGCCATTCACGATCCATTTGCAAAGTACGGTTTTTCATGAAGATGCCAATTGCTGTTGCTGCGTACTTTGTGCTTTTTGTGCTCCACTTGTTGTAGTGTTTTCCAGACTCATGACGTCTTTCTTTTTCTCGTTCTGGCTAATTTAGAACAAACTAACATCGCGTCTGTAGTTTCAAAAAACCTTAATGTTAGCCTGCACGTTCATGCATCAGCGCCTTTTGCTTCTGCAGAGAGTTAGTCTTCGCTCGCCTGGAGGCACCTAGGGTTCGTGCAGTTCGTGTGCGCACATCTACTACCTTGCTGTTGCGAACCCTGCTGTGGCGCTGCGACCGCGTGTTGTTCTTTTCAGAGAGTATGCACGCAGTTAGTAGCCAGAACTGCGGAAATACGAACCGTCCGGTAGATAGAACAGTCTGTGCTGAGCTTTGAGCATCCGGCCCAAATTCATCTATTCGGCGCAGCTACGCGCACGTTTATGTTTCAGCCTGTATCACAGCAGTCACGGATGTATATGTGCATCCCACATATTTATGAAGCTGCGTTGTGAAACGCTATGGGAGTTTGTTTCTGATTTAGCCGTGCTCTGCTTTTGATTTGGTGTGTCGGGGTTGTCCATCTCTACGACGGGCGTTTGTGAGACGGCGAATCTCGCCACAAGCGACCTCGTTGACTGGGCGAGGCAGTGCACCTGCAGCGCATTTATGCGAAACCAATTGTGTGAGTATTAGTGGCGGCTACCCAGCAAAACGT